TTACTGTCACTGTGGTATGAGTTGTTTGTATAGATCACCTAATTTAAAAAACTGTCATACTGCCATTAAACTTACAATAACTGACACCCATTGTTGGTAAGCCTCTGGTAGACTTCCATGGTTTATGGAAGAAGACCTCGTATAACTACAATACATTACAGTTTTTTTTATAGTCATCATAAGCAAAATAATTTACATATATGAATATTTCATTTTTCTCTTCTCCCCAGTTACCTGTTCAGTTATCTTGTCAGTTATCTAGATCTTGTTTCCTACTTACAGGCAGTGTGACATTAAAGATAGGTTTCTTGAGCCTTAAGGATTCCTTCAATCCTGTTAAGTCTGTGGTCATATATGAACATTCACTCTAAGACCACACTCTAAGCTGCAGACTGAGAGATCTGGGAACCTGTGTAGCTTGCAGTTAACTTTCCAGAAGAGACTGGGAAGGACCTTAACATCCTAGAAGAATGTCTTGGACCTAAGCAGCATGCAAAGGCCAAATATTTGTACTCCTTCATTCATCTGAGCTGGGTGGGAATTTGATGATAAGAGTCACGGAAAACTAGAGTTTTCATACTGTGAAAATACTGGATGAAAAAAGGAATTCTGTCCAGTGATATAAAAGTAGAGGCTTGGTGATTTGGTTTAAAATGTACCTTGCAATTGTAGTCATTTGTTGAAGATTCTAGAAAAACAACACAAGGTTTATAAGTGAGACCAAATATAACAGGACCCCAGTACTAGCATAGACTAATAATGGGTTATGATATAAGGGAAGTCTAAGTCATGAATCTTGAAGGAACTAGCTGTTTTTTCTCTTTTACTTACAAGTTCAAGAAAGATATTTGATATCCTTACTTTTATTAACTATTGACAATGTAATTATTTCACTAAAAGACAAGAATACTTCACTGTGTTGTACACTGCCAACACTGCATGAAGAGAATGCCTTAGGTATTTCTTCCACAGGGGGATGGAGGGAGGGAGGGAGAGATGGAGACATAGACAGAGACAGAGAAGCACATGGATTTAAAGTAATTGCCAGAACTTGTCCACAAAGAAGCTGTTTGTTACTTGGGTTAATACTACCCTTTTTTTCCTAAATATTTTTGATGAGTAAGATGATTCATATTTTCATTCAGTGATTGGTTATAAACATTAATTTCCATTGGAAAGCATTAAAAGCATATACCTAATTGTTAAATATTATTTTTTTAAAAACTACACTAAGTCTGTCTTTACTTTTGTCCTCAGAAGCTTATTTTAGACTCTTGTGCCAACCCAACTCCTTTCCCAGGCCTGATCAGACTGGAATTACTGGGCAAAGAATGTCATTTATAAAAATGTCTTGAGCAGAAGCATCCCAGAAAATGTTCCCCTCAACCTTCAAGTTCACTTGCAGAGCAATTTACTAAATAGAGAGATGTGAGGATCAAGTGACCATCAGCTGGTGTAAATGTTTCTGGTCAGTGTGGTCACAGGATCTCAGGTATGCAAGAGCTGGATGAACTACAACCACGTGCCTAGTTACGGTGATACCCTGCCTGAAATGCTCTCATTTAACAGAAGGAATCTAAGTTAAGAAGAATGCAGTTTAACCAGACACCTGTATTTAAAAGATTGGTTTCTCTCCTAGCATAATTTCTTCTAAGGGCACACTGTGTGTATATAGGGCCATTTCTTTCTTAGTATGCAGTAAATTAGTCCTGTTATTCTTATCCACATGGGAGGCAATTACATTTTTTAAACATTGTTACTGAAGCATTAGTGATAAAGAATGGCACATGTTTGATGTGGACATGTTGAGTTTTGACACATGAAAACAGCTGTAAAATTATTATTGCAATAAAGTTTATATATGTACTGAATATTATTAGAAGTTGGTCGTTTTTATTTTCATGGTTTTTTTGGTGATGATAAGACCATCAAACATGGAACCTATCTAGTGGGAAACAGTTTTTGGTCACTTGCAAAGTAACCCTGATTTTGTTAGAATAGTAGACTGGCTTCTGCTCTTTCTAAATTAAGATATTTTTGGATAGAAGTTGACCATACTCTTTAGTTTAACAGAAGGCTACTGCACTAAAATATGTGAAATAGCATGGATCAGGACGAGGGTGACATGTATGACTAAGCTTCATGGAATTCTAGGACATGGAACTGGAGAGCATTTTAAAGTTTTCTTATTAAAAAAAAAGAGAGAGAGAAATAGATCCTTTTCCTTTTTTGTGGTGGGAATTGAACTCAGGACCTTGTACTTGCCAGGCAGGTGCTTGTGCCAATGAATATCTCTGGCTCCCTCACTTTTGAATTTTAAAAAGTCACCTGGATAGTGTTCATTTAACAAAAATTATCATTCTGGCAGTGTTATGAAAGTGTTCATTTATCCTCATTTATTCCACTATAGTCCTTGGAATCAAAATTTCTTCACAGAGCTGTGCTTGTATATTTAAGGATGTTTTCTGAAGGGGAAGTAGAATTGCCTGGATAATTTCTTTAAAAAGACTGAGTATCTAAACTCCCATTGGTTGAATGACCCATGAAGCAGCATTTGTTCTACTTCTGGAGAAGCTTTGATGCGAATGTCATTTTCATTCTGGCAGCTTGCCTTTAAACATCTCACTGTATTTCTTTGCTCCTTCGTTTGGCCAATACACCTCCCATGTTCTAACTATGGAATTTAAGCTCTTCAAATGGAATTCATTGAAATTTAAAGCAGGCTTTTCCAACAGCAGGTGGCAGGCTTAAGTTTTAATCAGTTTTTTCCTCTCTAAATTTTTTCCTTCAAATAGTCATTAGTTGGTTGAAATTTTCTATTATTGTTCTTGCTGTGTTGCATTGTGAATAGGAGTTACATTTTTGTGGTAGCTGAAGCTTATTTTTTTTTTTAGTTACTAGATAACACAATTATGTAATAGAATTATGATTATATACATTTCTAGTTTAATCCTATTTCTTTGACTTCTATAAACTTTGAAAATGTATATTATTCCATATATATATATATATATATATATATATATATATATATTCTGTCCTGTTTTGATAAATTTACAAATGTACACTTTAACTGTTCAATACACTACATTACTAGAGTCCACACTAATAAAGTAACATGTAATATTTTATTTAAAGTATTTCCTGTTGTATGATCCAGACAAAAGTAAGAGAAGGAAAAGATCATTGTAACTTTAGTTCTTTAAATGTTGTAACATTTGGAGGATAAAGGAGGCAGACTTTGAGAATTAAAGATGCAATTCTTTCTAATTGAAACATCAGTGACGTTTATATACCATAGTCCTGGATTTTGACCATTTAAACTAGCCAAATGAAACCCTTGTCTCACTGTTAACCTTACTCATAAAAGTCAAATGGTGACTAGGTATCATGATTCATGAAAAGTAAATTTGTATGGTTTATTTTATATTGAGAGTTTCAATCAAATTTATGCAAATAGTCCTTTCCTCTACTTCAGTATGTATTTCTCTAGTATATAGGTAATGCCAAAATACACTTCATAGATGAGATTGGTTTTAAATTATTTAAAAAGGGAAAAATTATTAAGAAAGATGCTATTTCACCTTCCAAATTCCACCTTTATCTTTTCCCAAAGACCTAACTGCACTGGTAAAGCATCACTATTACTGTAACTTGGCAAATGGGTATTCACTTAAAATTAGACATCTGGAATTAAATAGCTAAACCAGTTCCTAGGTAATGTTCATGCTTAATGTCCTTTTTTAAAATAACACATTTAAAAAAACCTTTCTTGGCATAGATATTTGTGAATAATTCTGTGATTCAGTTGCATGTCCAATCAGATTGAACTACCATTCTAAACTTATGAGAAATTTCTTCCAAAGGATAACTCTGACATCTTTCTAAGCAACTGCTGATGCATTTTTAAATTCCTAAGAAGGTAGGATTCAAAGATGTGTGTAATTCACTTACATTCAAGAATAACTATAAAAGTAGAACACAGTAATTGGACACATTGGTCATATGCTAATATAATACTGTCCAGTCCAAGACATTATTTTGCTGCTTTGGTTCCTTGTTCTCACTCTTGGTTCTCTTCTCTTAAGTGTCCTTTCCCTTATACGTATATGTATGAGTCTGCTCCTCTTCATCAGGGCTTCTCAAATATCAGGCCCTCAATGAGACATTTTTTGCTTACCTTTAAAAAAAATCAGCATTCTCAACTTTTTTATTCTATACATATCTGCTAGTGCTTATTCCTGTTTGTTTTTTTTTTAAACCTTTAGATTCTCAGTTTCATGAGTATGAGGACTTAGTTCACGTTATCGCATTCCTGGTTTCTGGAATAAAATATGGGGGAAAGACACAGTATTTTCTGAGTAAATGAGTGTGAGAGTGGACTAATTGAAAGATCACTTATCTTGGAACTTATTTGAAATCTGCATTGTACCATGGGAGGAAAGGTTGGAACTGCCATACTGATGAGCTACTGCCTTGAGTATTTTGTAAGATATCATTTTGGCTATTTTAGACATTACATTCTTAAACTGTATTATTTTCCACTTACAGCAGGAAACAATTTTCATTACAATTTATGTATGTGAACTGTTGCTAGACCAGCCAAGTTCAGGAAAACAATGATCCAAAGCCACAATTAAATGACTGGGTTTGTTTACTTGCTTTTCTGTTTTTCTTATGTATATATTTATATTTTACTGTAAAACATTTCACATAATCAGTTGCAGATTTTTAAACAAGAAATCATGTACACCATGGGGCCATCTTGTTTTGTTTGTTTTTGGATTTCTAGCACCTGAGAACACTATATAGCAATTCACTGAATGCCACTCAATCAGCATTTGTTGAATAAGTAAATGTAGTTGTTTCAAACTGCATACATGGAATTACTGTCAAAAATACTAATTTATAATGCAAAAGAAAAAATGTAGTTGAAATCTCTTGAAATTATTTCCATGTTAGTTTTCAGAACTGACATCTTTTTTTTTTTCTTTCCATAGAATCTCTCCCCAGAAGGCCATGGATCGTCCAGCTACTGAAAAGCATAGATGCCCTCAGTGGCTCAGTAGCCAGTGTAGATCCTGTCTTTTGTAATCAGCAGCTACATCTGGCTACTGGGTCTCTGATTACATCTTCTAACTTCTATTACAATATTCTAAGAACAATATTGGTCCATCTTCAATAAGGAAAGCTTCACCTTAAGTCATACAGAGAGAGTTTTTGAGGTATGAGATGTGATATACTCCATTATTAGCTGGGTTTTAGAAACTTTGGTTTTATGAATAATGAGAAGTCTGTTTGCTTTCATTACACCAAAAGATAAAATCTGGATTGTTTTGCCCTCTATTCTCTCCTTTCCCTGTGGAAGGACTCATCTGCCGCCATGGAAGGAATCATTTGCCACTCTGTATGTATATATGTATATACCAGTCAATCTACCTATATCTAGATATTGCATCCATCTATTTACCCACCTAACCCATCAGTCCATCCTTCTGTCCATACATAGATAGACAACACATATGTGGACTCTGCAAAATAACATATTTATTGAATAATAACACCATAATATAGTGGTTTGAGGAAACTTCATTTGCAGAACATAGGTCTCAGCAATTCTGACCTTAGCTTGTCCTTTTTCCATGGCAGAAGAGCTACTAATTTTGATATCTTTAATGCAGTAGCCAAGTATGTTGAAATAGTATTGGGGGGATGACTTGGGGGCCGAACCTCCAGGTCTGGGGCATGAACCTGGCATACAATGTAGATTTCTGTGTTTGTTGAACAACAGCTACATTGTCTGCTGGGTTTCAGGCTACCTGGAAACATGTTCTTCACTGACTGTGTCATCAGTGCTGCATCCTTTCAATAGCTTTTCCATAAAGCACAAATCAGGAGGGTTTATGGTTGGACAGAGTACAAGGACGGGACTCTCAGAAAACTGATCACTTCAGCAAATAATGGTTTCATTGTGAATTGACTCAAAATGGTCTCACACCAACCTAGTGAACCAAACCAGAAGCAAGCTAAATGTTATTCTTCCCTCCCCCTCCTCAACTCTAGAAGGCTAAGATTGTTATGAATCACTTCATTTCTGTTTATGTACTTAGGATCAGAAAGTGTGGTATCCATGGGCCTAATTACACTGCCCTGTCACCTACTATTCCCTGCGTTTTGCCTTCTCACCCCCCTGGAAAAAACAGGTTCATTTTGTAGTTCCTTTACCATTGTCCTTAAAACTTTTATGAAGGAGCCTCAGTCTTAATAGAATCTGAATTTTTTTAGTCTGCCTTGTCTTCTCATCTCCATCATGTGTTTCTTGAAAGTAAAGTCTGGAATTTAGATAAAGTGAACTATTTACCACATTCACTAGCTCTTATGAAACTGAAAGAGTTGTTTTCCTATGAAATGACAGGGAATATGTAAAGCTAATATCAAGTTTGCAGGACAAAAAGAATAAGAAAATGAAACAACTTTTAGACAACACAAATTTCACAATGTTTTGTTTGCCTGATCTTGGTAAATTTTAATCCTGTAAATTTTGTAGAAACTAGCAAGTTAGATGATGAAATTGTTAATAATGAAGAATAAAACTTTTAAAGGAGAATGTATTAGCCTTCGGTTTTATGAACTGGAGATGTTTAGTAAGAAATCAGATACTTTAAATTAATATGTAGTAACAGATTTGAAGTGGAAAATGATTATAAAGACCAGTGTCTCCATGTAATAATTATAGTTATGATATGTTTTTGTCACCCCACTCTGAATTCAATAAAAATAAAAGATAATGATGAGCCTTTATTCTGTGTATGAGTCTTTTGGTCTCGTGCCTGCTAATCAGTTGTGTCATGTTTTATACCTGAGCCCACTGGTCTTTGTATCCTGGGAAGTCACTGTACCTCAGGTGTTTGACAATCTTTGAAGTGTGATAAATGGATGTTTTTGTAGCATACAGTCATAATCATGAAAATGACAGTGTTTTCCTTTGCCATCTATACTGCCATACTTATGAAATTCTTCGAATCCCTTTGTCATTAAATAAGAACATGTTGATGGTAGTTCCAGTTTTAAAGAAGAACTCCTGAGTTCCCCTAGTTCTATGGTCAAGTTTAAATTTCCTACTGGAGTCTGATTTATCATACTGATTTCCAAAGCAAGGACAAAGTTTATAATATACTAGGAAATACATATAGAGGCTTTGCCATTGGTCTCTGGCACAGAGCACTTAAATCCTTGTACTTTCCTGAGTGATAGGGTTTCTAGGAGCATCTTCTGTTCTAATATGTGGTCTCAGTCTCCAATTCCTGACACGAGAGCACCTAAACTCTTTGCACCTCTAGACTGCTGAGTCTAGTGTATGATAATGAGATGACTGGTGACTTTAGCTTCAAAAAGGGTACTGAATGAGAGAAAGACCAAGATGTGGTTAGAAGGTTGGCATTTTCAATCTCACTCCATGACCCACAGTGTGTGAGTTATAACATCTTTTTAACAAACCCAGTGCTAAGAATGGAACACAGGTCCTCTCAAGTGCTAGGCAAGTGCCCTACCACTGAGCCAGTGTGCCATCCATTGCCCACGCAGCTCATTAATCATTTTGGTCTATTTGTGTTGCTGTTAACAAAGTATGTGACACTGAGTAATTTATAAATAACACTTTTTAATTTCTTCGATTTCTAGAGGTTGGGAAATCCAAGACCAAGGTGCCAGCATTTAGTATTTGATGGCAGCCTTTTGGGTACAAACCCACATGGTAGAGTTGCAAAAGGGAACCCAGATCACATGTATTCCTCACATATTTGAAAAATGGAAGAGAACCCCTTGTTTCAAGTGCTTTTATAAGGGCTCTACCTTAGTGCTAACACGTTGGCAACCCAATTTCACCGTAAGGCCTCAGAGAACATACTTAGACCATGTCGTTTTACCACATTCTCACGTTCATGTCCTCACATGTGAAAAAACTTTGATATCATTGCAACAGTGCCAGAGAGTTTAGCAATTTAAAAGGTCAGAATCTCATCTAAATTTATAGCCGCTGCCTAAAAGGCCCCATCTCAGTACTCTTACATTTGTGATTTAAGTTTCAGCATAAAGATTTGGAGGGATACACTGAGACCCTATCAGTGACTAACAAGTTGTATATACAGTAGCCCACCCTCCAGGCAAACACACTAGGAGGTTCAGATAGCCTGTGGGTTTGCAAATGTCCTGGGAAGGTGGCATGAGTTGGAGAGGGCTTAGGAGCCCAGTTCCTCTTCCCACCTACTCATTCCCAACTTGTGTATTTCTAGTAATCCACTAACAGTTGTTTGAGCTGTTCTAGCATTTTATTAAACATGAAACAAACCAAATTTGAAATTGGCATCTGAAGTAGGGCAGTCTTACAAGATAAACCTTTAACTTGTACAATCTGACACCAGGTCCAAGGAATTGGTGTCAGAATGTGTTCAGTTGTAGGCACCCAACTGGCATTATAAAAACACTACACATTTGATGTAAGAGATGTACATGAAAGCAGGACAGAAAAGTGCAATTGACTAGGGAGGAGGGGCTGACTTCTCATTTTTTTCTCTGCTTTTTAAAAAATCTCATTCTGAAGCCAGGGAAGGATTGACATTTGTCCTCTTACTAGAAGAGATAGGCACAGCAACCTATTCTGTTTTAATTTTTATTTTGAAATAATTTCTTCTACATTTTAAAAAAATCAATACATTTAAGATAATTAGTCATCTTGGGGAACTGGTATGTATACACAATGCATCTTAATCATTTTTATTGCTCCTTCCCCTCCCTGCTGTACCATCTCCCCCATCCCCAGAAACACTCCCTGTCTGCACAGTCTACCTCTCTGTTTCCTATAATCTTATCTTTTATCTTATCTTATATTTTATTAGTACATAAAGATTACATTCACTAGTGGAGGATGTATGAAAACACATCTTAATTCTTTTTGTTGTACACTTCCCTCCAACATTCTTTCCCTTTCTATTTACAAAAACTTGGGAATATTTCTTGGCCATAAACAAGGATAAAAGTGGAGCATTTTTAGGTAAGTTTATACACTGAGAAACCGTAATGTAAAGTAAAATAAATCAGATACCCAGATTAAATGTCACATTGCTTCCCTTGTGTGAGAAAAATAAAACACAAAATAGGGTATAGATAATCGGAAGTAGGAAGAACTTGTATTTTTAAACAATTTAAAAACTGCTGATGGAAAGTTAAAATGGAGTAGATGCTTTGGAAAAGTTTGACAAATCTTCAGAATGTTAAGCAGCATACCACTGAGAAATTTGATTCCTAGGTATACACCCAAAAGTATTGTAAACCTAGCATACATGCAATGTGTATTCACAGCAACACTATTCTTATTTACAACAGCCAATGTTGATTAATTGATGAATGATAAAATGGGTTATACATTCAATGAAATATTACACAGCCATATAAAGAATGAAATTGATTTGCGCTACAGTATGGATAGGTCTCAAAAACAATATGCTTAGTGACAGAAGCTAGATACAAAAGACCGCATTATTGTGTTTTAGTTACTTTTCTCATTGTTGAGTCAAAATACACAACACCCACAGTTAAAGGAGGAAAGGTTTATTTAGTTCACAGTTTGTAGAGGTTTCAGTCCATAATCAGTTAGGCATGGTGATATGGCAGAAGGACATCACAGAGCAGAAGACAAGCAGCAGCAACAAAAAGCAACAAATGACAAGCAATGACACCCTTTTATTTTATCCAGGCTATCTACCTTAGGGTGGGTAGCACTTCTACCCTTAATCCTAGCTTCACATCCTTCATCTCAGTATCACTTTCCCTAGATTAGCCAACTCCTAAAAGCCCCACCTATGATTGTATGAGGCTTGGGGGGACATATAGACACAAGTCAGGTTATACTGTTTCATCTATATGAAATATCCACAATAGACAACTCTATATAACTAGTAGATAAATGGTCGTCAGCCCTGGCAAGGGGGAATTGATGTGATACAGGACTTCTCTTTAAGGTTGTGAAAATATGGAATTAATGTTCTGTGATGGTTACACACATTTGTGAATATATAAAAAGATACTAAAGTGTATAATTAAAGTGGGTGAATATGGAATGTAAATTGTATCTTAAAATGTTAATATGCATAGTGTCCAATACTCTGAATTCCCGATGTTAATTATAAAAATCAAGAAATTTATATTATATATATATATACACACACACACATACCTACACACATTTTTAAAATGAGATTTCACTACTTGTAGTGTCTTAGTATTGCTATTGGCCATTTCTGGTTTAGGAGCCAATGTAAAGCCTCATTTTTAGTTGTCGTTTCTCTAGTCTTCTTCACCCTGAAGCAACTAATTCTGACTGTGATGCTTCAGAAGGGAACACTTATTTTGATGAATGCTCCTCAGTTTGGATGAGTATGGTTTCTCCTGCTTAAAAGATTTGGGTTACAGATGTTTGGCACGAATAGCATAGAAGCCGTGTATCCTTAATCGATAGTATTAGGGTGCACATTTTGTTGGTATGTCCCACTACTGGTGATGCCAACTTGCTTAGGTAGACATCTGGTCATGGTTATTCATACTTCCATTTCTTGTATATATATATATATATATATATATATATATATATATTTCCTTTTATCACAGTTCTGTTCCGCCATTTTCCCTCTTTTCCTATATAGTCAATTATATTTTACTATGTATCAGTTTCTATGTGGTCTTGAAAAATGTAACTCATTTTGGTGTACATATTGGCTTAATTTATATTAGTGCCATTATGCATCATAGTCTTTTTTCCAATAGCAAAGCCTTCATATTCAACTATATCTCCAGCTCTTTTTTACTTCAAGACAATCTCACTAACTTGAGTAGGCGGCCTTAAACTTGAAATTTCCATGCCACACCTGTCAGAGTGCTGGGATTTCAGGCAAACGCCACAAGCCTCTATAGCTTTTGAAAAGTAAGAAGTGCTTTTTTATTGATATGTGTTTGCAGTATATGTTTACATTTCTTGTTGGAAGTTGGTACATGTACGCAGCACATCTTGTTTTATTTTTTATCCTGCCTCCTCAATGTCTTTGATCCCTTATCTTCTGCAAAAGATTTCCCTGTTTTCTATGATCTATTATTTTGCTAAGCACTTCTTTTAAGGTCCATCTATGTTGCTTTTAATTCTACACCACATTCTAAAAGAGTGCAACTACATTTCACCTGTGCTATTTACAGTGAGTGACCGTGAATAAGAACAGATTCCTTGTTCTCACAATCAACATTGAAGGAAACATTCTAACACGTCTCCTTCTGGATTTGTGTAAGAAAGTATTTAAAGTACATAGGCCACTATGTTCTCTTGTATGGTGGCCATCACTCACACTGTAAGGTGCACTTCTTTTCCTACTTTTACTTGGCCCAAACTCACTGAAAAATCTGTTTCTTTTCCTATCTTTAAGAATATTTTGCTGCTGTTTGTGCTTATCTGGACCAGTTCTTTGCTCTGGAAGAAAAGAAAAAAACAGAAACCACCTCAAGAAGGAGACTTTAGCACCCTAAAACCTGGTGACATAGCCAGCCAAGAGAGGAAGTAAGGCCCTTTAGGCACTTTTTGTTGTTTCTAAAATACCACAAAAGTTTCTTTTTCTCTTCTCCCCCTTCCCGCTTCCATCTTCCTTTTTCCATTTTCTTTCCCTGTCTCTGTCTCCTAGGCTGGGGAAATGGGGACTCTTTCCCCTGGCACCAGGAACTGTTTTCTGCTTTGCCTGTCATGTGGCAGGGGAGAGGAAAATACATGGCCTCCGTGTTTTTCTTCCAGCCATAGGAGACCTACAGGCCCACTTGAAGCTTGTCTCCCCCTTTCTTTTTCCCATTTTTGGTCACTAATTAAAGATACAAGTCTGTAAAGAATATTAGCCCAGTTGAGAACAGACTGTTGAGGTACCATGTTGGTGACCCAGAATTTAGTTGGAGTTTTTGTCCTTATGTTTCTGTTCTCCATGATACTTTGCTCAGCTTTCTTATTCATTGGGGGAAAATACCTGTTAGCAACTTAGTCTGCCTGAGTCACTGCCTACCCAGGTTTACTATTTTTGAGCTTAAAGTCTCAGCCATACTTTTCCTTAAATGTTTGTTTCTTTCTTAGTGTGCTATCTTAGGGTCACCATATCTCGTCATATAACTGGCTGCTCATTTTGAGTCAGCCACATGCATTTCAACTGACCTCATAGTTAGGTGCTAAGCCTCTGATTATAAGGAACATGTGGACTTTTTCCCTGTTTTGAATGAGGGTAGTTTCCTTCTTTCTTCTAACAAAATGCAGATAATATACCTGAGAGCCCGAGAAGAACAAAAGAACAGTTAGTAGAGCTTAATTCAAGTGACTGAGTCAAAGATAGAGCCATCCTCATTCTTATGATTTTAAAGTTTTGGTTTTTTTTGTTTTGTTTTCTGTTTTGTAGCAGGGATTGAACTCATGAACTCGTGCTTGCCATGCAGGTGCTTATACCACGGAGCTAAATCCTCATCCCGAAAGGTTTCTTCTTTAAAAAAGAAGTTTCTATCTCTATTACCTTAAATAAAGTACCAAAGTGTTTGCTATGAAGGTAAATGCAAAAGATGTTGTTTCTGAAATGGCTCCATTCTGTGAGAGTAGAGCCATTCTTGGTTCTTGGTTAAGGGAGTCACAGTGGAGAGGGACTCCACCCTGATCTCATGGGGTTTTTGAAGGGCTAGGTAGAGCCATCAAGTGTACAACACTGCTCTTCCTAAGGAGTTAATGCTTTCTCCTCCTTCAAAAGTCCTCAGTAGCCCACTTTCTTCTGTGCTTCTATGAAAGATGCTGGCATCATCCTAGCTTCAGACAGAGACATCCATCTAGTAAATGCTTGAGTCACACAAGAGACATTTTATAGGCTCAAATTTGGTGACCTACTTCTGCATGGGATATCATCATAAGGACCTTAGACCTCCATTCTCTCTCTGTAGGCCCCAGGATGACCAACAGGAAACATCTTGAACTGCACCCTACAGATTCCACCAACTTTGCCACTAGGCTGTATCCTTGATCATTGGGAAAGGTTTGATCCTGCCAGTTTAAAAAAGGAAACAGCATATCTACTATTGTAATAAGGTTTGAGTTCAGTGTGAACTAGGAAATGATTAGTGATGGGTCTGTGATGGCTGTTTAAATTATGAGACTATTTTTCAGTTAAACTGTTTCTGCTTAAAACATAAAATATGCCATGAAATCTTTACTTCAGGAAAATCCCAGAAACTATGATATTTAGAGTGGCCCCTGAGGAAGAGAGAGATATCCTTGATGGGTCCTGTCCTTGGAACCCCCACTTGTCTCTCAGGGGGATATGGGTTTCTCCCACTTGTTTAATGAAGAAACTTCAGATGAGACCCATGGCACCTATGACCCCAATTGCTTGACATATATTCGACAACTGGGATCCAGAAAGAGATTAAGGGACTAAAAGAAAAAGGCTAAAATGTAGCTGTTACAATTGTCAATGCTTTACACGCATCCAAATTGTATAAGGGAAAGTCTAAGAATGATTGAGAGCAAGAAAACTGGACACTGGGCACCCATTTACACCAAGCCACTGCTTGGACCCTGCTCCAAGTGTGAGGCAGCTAATGTGCTTGACTTATGGCAGTGGAAGTTTGTCTCTGCTCTCAGAGATAGGCTAGGCTAGCTAAAATACTCAATTCCTAATCTGAAGAGGTGCAAGGGAGCCTTCAATGTCTCTGTCCATGGGTGTTTTCATCTTCTATGAGGTACCCTGAGTATCATAGTACATTATTGATGAGCCAATTCAATTACTTCATTCTATTTTCACTTATTTCTCTGGAAAACTTTCCTCTAGATCTACAGCCATGGTTGGAGTTGAGGAGATACCCGAGTTGATTCTTTACTCCTGCCTTGTTACGTCACTTTGAAGGCCAAATGTTTAGTAACGAGATTCTAAATGTCCCACAATGTCCACTTTCTTGCAAAGAAGAGATTTACTAGCAAAATTTGAGTTAATTCTCAAATTCTGTCAATGTCCAAAATGGACAAGATCCTAGCTTTATTCCCAGTTCCTGTGGAACCATTCTGGTCCTTCCTCAATGGATGCAGTCACAAGCTATAAAAATTCTACATGGAAAATGGTCACTACACTTTTCACAGGACTAAGAAGAAAGCTACTCCTGAGAACCAGTGGAAGACCTGAGGCTCCTCTTCAGAAAGTAAGACCCCAGTATTTCTCCAGATGCAGATAAGTAGAGTCACTAATGACTAATTCACAGCTTAAGTGGGCACCTGTATTGAGGTGCCTATTTTTAATTAGATCCATTATGTGGGTGATCTTAAGATTTAACTTTCAGGCTCTCAACTTATTTGCCTCCCATTTTGCTATACTTTGTCCTCCGTAAGACATGTGGAAATCTGACCTACTCCTAATATTTGGATTGGCATTCCCAAACATACTTATAGGTACTTTCTTTCTTCCATCAGACAGACATCTCAATGGTCACTATCTCTTTTCTCTTGTCTTCTAACACTTTTTCTCTTTAACCAGGCCAGTCAACCACAAAACCCCCAAGGTAGTTGGAGAGCAAGTAATCCCAACTAGTTGGGTCTACAGTCACTTCCAACCTAGATGCTACAGAAGAAAAAGATCTTCACTTCTTCAGAGTTATGGACTAAAAACTGGTGGTCAGCTTAATACAGGCTGAATTAAATCAGCATGCTGCTCGCTGACCATAGATAGCCCACCTGAGGAAAGTTGCCAGCATAAAGAGGTTAAAAAGACGAGTGAGGCATTGTGAGTTTCTCTAAGTGTTGCTGTTTTCAGCCGTGGGTTCTACTGGAGGAGCTGCTCAAGACTAGCTTCCCCAGTGTGAGTTCGACCATTGTCAACAGAGGAACCCAGAACCTTGTTGGTGAGAGTGGCTGTCGTTCACTTTGGGGGAGCTTTGGTCAAGCATCTTTCCTGGCTCCAGAGCGGATAGGGGAAGACATGTGCCATTTAATCTCATGCTTGTTTTCTGGCATGTACTTGTCTGTTCATATAACCAGAGGAGCTCAGGATCTCTGTTTCACTGAGGATGCCTGTGGTGCTTTTCAGGACAACCCTGGTCTTTATTATGAGCATGACTGCTCGACTCCAGTATAGAACCCTCAACATACCAACACAGCTCCTTCACTCCACTGGCATAGACTTTCTAGCTTCCACCGCTGACCTTTGGGCCTTCTCAGTGTGGATCCATAAAACAGACTGGCATGAGCCCTTCTTGTGGGCTCTAGATCTCCAGTTGGACTTGTGGGAGGCATTGTCATGGGCTCTAGGTTTTTATCTGGACTCATGCAGCACATTGCTGTGGGATCCAGGCCCTTTGCCGAATGTTCTTTAGTGTTATGAACAGATTTCCTGCATTTTCTTGTGTTACACTATGCATGACCGTCATAAAATAATAATATGACTTGTGTCCTGATTCTAATTGTTCTCTACACAACCCCTGGATACAACACTCTATAACCCATACAGACTTATGAGAATATATGTCTCTGAGGTAGAAGTGAGACAGGAATGTTGGGCATGGTTAAAAATTAGCTGGGAAAGGAGGCATGACAAGATCTGGGAACACATGCCCAGAATAGTCCCCAAAGCCTTGCATGTAGACTTCTTGCAAGAACTCAAGCAAGTTTTCAATAGGGCGACTTAGACTTGATGTCAGCCTGAAGAGTGGGTGATACAAGAACAGTCCATGTTGAATTTTTGCCATTGTTTTCTCTCTAGCATGGTGATCCATCCTCATGCTGTAGGGTGTGCTTCTTTACCTAATTTTACTTGGCCCTAACTTGCCCAGTAGAGGCCTCTTTTTTTTCTTACCTTTAATAAAACTTTGCATTAAATTGTTGAGTTGTGGGAGATACACACACTCAAAATGTCCTGTGCAGTCTATATTCCCAACATCAGTGAATTGAATTTTCTTGTAGACACATCTATCAATAACTGATATAATGGAACTCTTTGAAAGTCAAAAATATGTAAAGTGATAACTCAATGTTTTGGTTTACATTTATCTGGTTACTAATGATGATGGACATCGTTTTGCATTTGACCTTTTGTGGTTTTCTGTAACTTTCCTGTTCATGTCTCTTTTTATTCTCCCTTTGGATTTTTTCAAAGTATATGGAGAAATGCATGTAGGATATATAAACTCACTGAATAGATTTGTTTTACTTCTACCAATGTCAAGAAATAGAATATTGTCAGTTTCTCACATTTGGTTCCTATGCATCCTCCTAGTCATTATTCCTTCTCCCACCCAAAAGGTAACTCTCATCTTGAATCCTAAATTATGAAGTCTTCACATGCTATATTATCTTTTATGCTTGACTTATTTGCTCAAACTTATTTGTGAGATTTATTCATATGGTATATAAGTGTTTATTCATGTTAGTGAATGTTTCCTCTCCTTCCTCCTGTACTGGAAATGGAACTCAAAAGCCTTTAGCATCCTTTTGGATCCGAGTTTTTGGAGTTTTCTGTAACTTTCCTTTTCATGTCTCTTTTGTTTCCCATTGTAATTTTTCAAAGTATATGGAGAAATGCATGCAACATAGACAAATGCACTGATTAGATTTGTTTTACTGATACCAAGGTCAAGGTCTGGCATTTTTTAAGCAAATGGTCTATCACTGAGCAACATCCTCAGCCCAATTTTAGTAAACATGTTTGCAGTTGTGTGCTTTTCCTTTTCTTTCTTTCTTTCTTTTTTTTTTTTTTTTTTTGTTACCAGAGATTGAACACACAACCTTGCACTTGCCAGGCAGACACTTATGCCACTGAGCTAAATCCCCATCGCCTAGTTGTGTGCTTTTTTGAGTAATCTTACTATAATTACTAGTAACCTGATAACATATGTACAGTCTTTTGTTGGGTGTATACCAAAAACATAGAATTGTATACCATAAATGATGGAAAAGTTAGCTTTTATAGGTAATGCCAAACACTTTTACATGATGACTATTACACTTTATTCTCCTGCTAAGTATACCTTTTCTTTCTTTTTGTGCGGGGTGATCGAAGTCATGGCCTCGTGCTTACCAAGCAGATGCTTACACCACTGAGCTAAACCCCCAGTCCCTTCTCCTGCTAACTATGTATAGCAGTTCCTGTTGTTCTGCATCCTCATTAGCACTTACTGCAAATATTTTAATTTTAACCATTCTATTATATATAGTGGTATCTCCTGGTTCAATGAATTTCATGCTACTGTGGTTGCGCTTTTCTGTGTTTATTGGTCATTTAGATACTTTTATAAAACACTTGTTCAACTTGCTTGCTCATTTTTATACTGGGTAGAGGTAAGGTCCTTATTGACTAGTAAGAAGACTTCATGTGTTCTAGATGTAAGCCTGTTATTTTACTACAAATATATTTTCTTTTATAATTTCTCTTTCACTTTTTCCTTGGTTTCAGTGGTCAAATATTCTTAATTTCAATGCATTTCAATAAATATTTTCTTTGATAACAAATGACATTTTGTGTGTCCTATTAAAATCTTTCTCTAGTTTGGAACTTTTGTTTTGCATTTCACATTTAAAGCTACAGTTTTATTGGAATTGAATTTTCAAGTTGGATGACTTAGACATCAAATTTGATTTTTAATATAGGAAATTTATAATTTATACTTCATCATTGGTTGAAAATACTTTCTTAAGTGCTCTGGCAGTGCAATTTTTATATTAAATCAAGCATTTTTAGATGTTATATCTGTTTCTGGTATATGTATTCTACTTTGTTGTTCTATTTGAGAATTCTTATGCCAATACTATATTACCCTTATTATGTAAGTTTTGACATTAGAGTCACTAATTTTTGATATGGACTTGGATTTGTGTTATAGAATTGACTGCTAATCTTTAGAATTCACAAAAATAAAAGAAAAACAAGAAGAGGGAAAAGAAGAGAAGAAAAGAAGAAAAAAAGAAGAAGAAAGAGAAGTCAGGGATGGTGGCACGAACCTGCAATCCCAGTACTCAGGAGGCTAAAGGAGGAGGATTGCTGCGAGCCTTGGGCCAGCCTGTGCTACATAGCAAGTTAAAGGCCAGCCTGAACTACACAGTGAGGCCCTGGATCAATTAGAATCCATTGTTAATTTCATGAAAATTTTGATATTTTAATTGATTGATTTTGGACGAATTTATATTTGAACTTTATTGAATCTTCTGATATGTGAATGTTGGGTTCTTTTCATCTGTTTAGATCTTCAATTTCTCACTATTTCATAGTTTTCTACCTGAAGCTCTTGCTTCTCATTCGTTAGACTTACTTTGTAGGTATCTGATTTTTTGTGATGCTACTATAAATGATATTTTCTTAAAATTACACTTTGTTATTATTTATTTGTTTTTTGTTTTTCTAGTAATTTGTTTTATTCTATTTTTTTACCCTCTAATACAGAAAGGATAGATGTACATGTAGAGTCTTACTAAAGTGTTTACAAGAATTGATTGATTATGCATGATGATATGAACAGCTACTTTGAAGAAAAAGAGCCATTGTGGCAGCCATTGCTGATTTCCTATCATCATGTTGTGAAGTCCAGTCATGCTTTTATTCTTTGTTTAGAGTGTTTTTAGTCTGTTTGTATTATTTAATTTCAATATATATGAAGATATAGACAGCTATTTGAAGAGAACAAGAGACATTACAGTAGCCATTGTTGACTTTCCTACTGTCTGGTTTTGAAGGACTATAATGCTTTCATTCTTTTGTTTCGATTAGTTTTATACTGTTTTATTTTGTTTGAATTCATTGTGTATGAAGATATAGACAACTATTTCAAAGAAAACAGACATTTTGGTAGCCACTGTTGCCTTTTTTTTTTTTGAAATTCTGTGTTGATTGTATTGTTTTGTTTTGACCTGTTTTGTTTTGTTTTATCCTCTTTAAAATAAAAAAAAAATTAAAAGTTGCACTTTGTGATGAATTTTGCAGTATATTCAAATTCAGGGTCATTTTTTTAAAACTCTGTATCCAGTAACTTTGCTAAACACACTTATTAATTTGAAGATTAATTATGGGTTCTTTTGAACCTTTTAAATGAACACTAATATATACATAAAACATTTTTCCTTTCTAATCTTCATATTCATTTTTATTTATTAATTGTACCAACTAGGTGGTATAATACAGTGTTAAGTTCAAGAATGAACTGAGAAAATCTTTGCCATATACTCAGGCTTGAGGCGAAAGCGTCCAACATTTCACCAATAAGTATAAAGTTTACTTTGGGTTCTTCATAAAACAAATGCTGTTTACCTTTCTAATGCAGTTTATCTCTCTTCTGAGGTTTAAGAATTTTTATAATGAGTGAATAGTGAATTTTATCTAAATATTTTTTGCACTTATTGAGATGACCATCTTGTTGTTTTTCCTCTAGTTGATGTGGGAATTACATAGATTTTTTTAAAAAATCAACTTGATTGCAGTATAAGTTACATGTTAAATACATATGTAATTTGAACAGTTTTGATAAGCAACCATCACAACCAAGATAGAAAGTATTCTAATATCCTAGAAATCTTCCTTGTGCATCTTTTAGCTTAATTCCTACCTTGCTCTCCCTCATCTGTTATCTATCAGTATTGATTGAGTTGCCTGTTTGATGCAAAATATACTTATCCAGTTTGTGCCTTTTGAGTCAAGCCTCTTTCATTTAGCATAATGTTTTGCTGGATTTGTCCATGTTGCGTGTGTCAGTAGTTCATTCTTATTACTATATATATTGTACTATACGAGTTTGTCCCAATTTGTGTTACCATTTCTCTTTTGGTAGATATTCGAAGTACTTTCTGTTTTTGACTATTAAGAATAAAACTTTCATGAACACTCAAACTTCATATAGACATATATTTCCTTTTCTTTGGGGAAAATACCTATGAGTCATAAGGAGGTATATTTTTAATTTTATAAGAAACTGCTAAACTGTTTTCCAAAGTGATTAGATCACTTTATATTCTCACCTACACTTCATGACCGATTCATTTGCTTTGCATTCTTGCTGACCCTTAGCATTAGCAGTTCTTTTTGATTTTCACTCCAATAATGAGTGCACTATCTCACTATGATTTTGAGTTATACTTCCCTAGTGACTAACAGTATTTACTTTCTTTTATGTGACTACTGTCATTCATATATCTTTTTTGATTAAATGTCTTTTGCCCACTTCTAATTGGATTGTCTTCTCATCATTCGGTCTTAAATATTCTTCACATTTTCTGAACAAATTCTTCATTGGGTAAGTGGTTTTACAAATAGTCAGTGCATCTGTACTAAGTAGTGTCTATGCATCCCTTTTCTTTTTGTTAACAGTAATGTTCAAAGTACGGAAATTTAAAATTTTGACATCCAATTCCTTACTTTCTGTTCTTTGAATTTTTCAAGTTTTGTTTTTGACAAAAGTTATTGTACATATTTATAGATTATGAGGTAATGTATGACTTTCTGTTTATAATGGCGAATGATTAAATCAGACTAATTATCAAATCCATCATCTCATATTCTTATCTCTTTTTATTGTGAACACATTTAAAAGCTACTTTGAATAATTTTGAATTACATGTAGAATTATTATACAGCTATCCTAAAAAATAGATCACTAAAGCTTATTTCCTATAACAAATTGTATACTTTGATCAAATCACTCCTTTCTCCATCATTCTACTCTCTACATCTTTTAGTTCAACTTTTTAGATTCATCGTATGAGTAAGATCAAGCAGTACTTGTTTTCCTGTGCCAAGCTTATGTCACTAAACATAATGTCCTCCAAGTTTTTTGTTGAATATTGACAGGATTTATCCCCTTTAAAGGATGAGTACTATTTCTTTGCCTATATATGTGGTATTTTCTTTATCCACCTAGTATTGAAATATGCTGTGGTTTATGTTGTATAAAAGTAATATTTTCTTGCAATTACTTATGGCATATAATTTTCAGCTTTTGTGTTATGATCCATTTCTAATTAAGATTTTGAAGTAAAAGTTGAGGTTCTTTTTATTTCCATGTAGAATTTTCAAATTTATGAAGCTATCTGAAAAGACCATACAAGCCCAACTCAATTACCTTGTCCTCTTTTTAAAAATCAATTGACCAGGCTGAGGTTTAGCTCACTAGCAAAAGTCCCTTCCTGGCAAGCATGAGGCCTTGACTGGTTAAAAAATCAATTGATAAGTGCATGGGTCTGTTTCTATGCTATTCTGTAGATAAGTAAGTCCACTTTCAAATCAATATCACATAGTTTTGTTCACTGAGGCTTCATCATAGACTTGAATTTGGTAATTCAAGCCCATCAACTCTATTCTTTTTTAAAAATTTTATTTAAAGAAAAAACAAAACAGTAAAAGGGTACAAGTAATAACAGAATTACAAAAAACAACAGAATTACAAAAACACTAAGAAATCACCAGTTAATAGATTACACATTGTCATCTTTAGGATCAAAGCATACAAAGTGGACATTCAAACAGTGAGACTGAAAACAGTTGTGTTCAATGATCCAACAAAAACTTGGTAACATGGTCATCTATCTTACACACCTAAACACACTTGCAGTGTGTCCTTTAGAGCACTTTCTTTTCCTCACTTTTTTTACAATAACATTTACACATTTTGGGTCTTATTACTCCCACAGTTCTTATTACATTTTTTGGAAGAGAATAAAACCAAATGTGACAAAACAAAGCAAAGCAGTCAGTCAAAACAAAGGATGGACATAGTACATGATGTAAAAACAGAATACAAGGCAATCAACAATGGTTACTATAATGGCTCTTGCTACCTTAAAAATATTTGCCTATATCATCAGGTATAATAAAATTAAACAAAATAATACAGAACAAAACCAATAAAACCGAAACTTTGGAGACATTACTGAACTTTAAGAGTCAAACGAGAATGGGCATCATAGAGAATCTTATTGGCTTCAAAATAGTTGCCTCTACCCTCAAAATTAATACTATCAAACAGAACAGAATAAAGTAAAATCAGTCAAAACAAGATGGTGAGAGCAATACAGGGCTTCAAATCAAGTTAATAGGAAATCAAAAAAGTTACTATAATATATCCTACTAATTTAAAAAATTTTTTCTTTAATTAAAATAATAATAAAAATAAATTTAAAAAAGGGGGGATATTGAGAAAAGAGGACATAACAACGTAACAATACAGATCAGAACAAAACAATTTAAGCAACATAGTGTTTCACCGCAACATAACCCGACTTAATAGTAATTACTATAGTGTCTCTTTCCTTGAACTATTTGAGTATAACTTTGTATACTATACCATGAAACATATCAAGACACTGTGAAACCATTCAAGAGGATGAATGTGTTGCAGGGTATTTAGAACCAGCTAACAGAAAATAAACAATGGTTTCTAAATTATTTCTTTGCCTATAACAATTTTGTTTATACTATCACATATAATAAAATCCAATAAGATACAACATGATAAAAGCAATGGAGACGAAGAATAACACTTTGATGGGACTTCAAAACAAGATGATATTAAATCAGCACTAGCTATTATGATGTCTTGTTTTCTTCATAAAAGCTGTTCATATCAGCACAGACAATAATATCAAACAGCTCAGAATAAAACCATTCCAATTAATAAGTGAAAACTTTCTAAGATTTCAAAGCCACATAATGAAGAATCATGACTATCATATACTTTTATATATTTGTATCATTTCTTACACTATGGAAACTATTCGGTATTCATAAATGTGAGTTTGATTTATTTCACTTATGAGTATGGTCTCAAGCTGCACCCATTTATTTATAAATATCTCAATGTGATCCTTTTTATAGCTGAATAGTACTCCATTGTATAAAAATACCACAGATTTTTTTATCCATTCCTCAGCTGATGGACACTTAGGTTGTTTCCAAGTTCACGTGATTACAAATTGTGATCGGCTGCTATAAACATGGGTTCACATATATCACTGTGATATGATGTTTCCTGGTCTTCTGGGAATATGCCTAGAAGTAGAATAGCTGGAACAAATGGGACTTCCAATCGCAGCTTTTTGAGAAATCTCCAGACTGACCTCCACAATGGTTGCACCAGTCTACATACACACCAACAGTTCAGGAGAGTTCCTTTTCCCCCACAGCCTCTCCAGCATTTGTTGTTGGTGGTTTTCTAGACCCAGCAATTCTTTCAGGGGGGAGATGCAATCTCAGTGTGGTTTTAATTTGAGTTTCTCTAATGAGTAATGATGATGAACATTTTTTCGTGTATTTATTTGCCATTTGTATTTCTTCATCTGAGAAGTGTGTATTCATCTCAGATGCCCATTTTTGGAATGTATCTTTGAATTTTGAGGGTCTGATTTTTAAAATTGTTTATATGTTTTAGACAGAAGTCCTTTGTCTGAGCAAGAGTTCACTAAGACTTTTTCCCAGTTTGTGGGTATTCTTTTCACTATGCTGGAGATTTCTTTTGATGTGCAGAAACTTTTTAATAAGAGGTGATCACAATTATTGACTCTGGGAAGTATTTCCCGTGCGGTTTGAGTCCTATTCATGAATTCTCTACCTACTCCTATGTCTTCAAGGTTTTCACCCAATTTGTCTTCCAATAGATTTAGTGTTTCTGTTTTAATATTCAGATCTTTGATCCATTTAGATTTTAGTTTAGTACATAGTGATAGGCATGGGTCTAGTTTTAGTTTTCGGCATATGGAGACTAAATTTTTCCAACACCATTTATTAAAGAGACTGTCGTTCTTCCAGTGAACATGTTTGGCCCTTTTATCAAAGATAAGGTGGTTGCGTGTGTTTGTAGTTGTGGTTGTATATTCTAGTCTATTCCATTGATCTTCAGATCTGTTTTTATTCCAATACCATGTTGATTTTACTACAGTAGCTTTGTAGTATAACTTCAAGTCAGGGATTGTA